TACAGTATCTGATGTAATGTCAAGGGTGTGTACATACAGAGATCCCTCCTTCAAGGACTGAGCTCCATTCCTGGGTGCTAAGTGAGGAGCTGTATGTTACAATTTTCACAGCAAAGAAACGGTCACAGGCAACTCCAACCTGATGAGTTTGCTTTTATTTTCATAACTCACGCATACAGTACTGTAATGCACAGCAGAACATAAAACTGTGGTACTGCGTCTACAGCACAATCAGCACAGATTACAGCAGAATATAAACAAGGTGCATGGCGCAGAAAAAAAGCCACGGAGGCCCCATAACAAGGTGCCCACGCGTGTCAGGCATCGATGTATGTGCTCGGCTGAGGAGTCCCTGGGCGCAGCTACCACCTGGGAGATGAGGACCCAAAGCCCCTGAGCCAGCACCCCGCCTGGGCCCAGGACAAGGAGCAGCACCCGCAGCCTGCCCCTCCCTGCACTGTCCCATGCGCCCCAATCAGGCTCTGCCCAGGCAGGGCCCTTCTTTCTGAGAAACGGGGGGTGGGAGGTGACCAGAAAGGCGGCTGCCCTCTCCACAGTCACATAACCCATGTTTGCAAGGAGCCTGGAGCCAAACCATCCCTGAACACTCTGCATCTGGGTTGAGGTTTCTGCCAAGCTGAGCAGCTCCCTCCCTGGGGTGTGTTGACTGGTCACAGGTTGGAGCAGCGCAGCTCGGTCCCAACTCTGAAGGCCATCAAGTAGGTAGGTCATTGAAGGATGAATTCCTGTAGAGGTGCAGAGACAGCTGCTTCACCCTAGAGAGGGCTAACATAAAGACCTGGGTCCTTTTTAAAGAGTAGAGCACGCAGCCTGTGTGGCTCAGCAGCTGGCAGTATTCAGGCAGCTGCGTGGTGGTTCGAAGCTGCCAGCCCGTGGTCTGGCACCTGCACTGTGCAGCCGGCCTGTCCCCGCTAGAGCAGGTTGCCATGCCTACCGTCATCCCTCCACCAGCCCCCAAGACCAAACAAACCCTGCCGACAAGCCCAGCGTCCCATCAATCAAGTGTCCACCCTCAGGGAGGTGAAGGGGGTCCCCGCCCCATAAAACAGGACCCCTGCTCTGGGTTCAGGGATGCTCTGCTCTGACCCTCACTGCGTCTGGGGGGCGCTTTGCACTGCTTCTTCTTGGCACAGCCGTAATGAAGTGCTGTTGCTTTGTACTGGTCTGGCTCTTCTTCCTCCTTCTAAGCTGGGGAGAGGCAATCCCAGGGAGGTGACCACCAGACACAATAGTTATAAGGTATTGTTTAGGGGACGGTGACAAGAAAAAGTATCTATACATGTTTAGTACAGACAGAGTCAGTGCATGCCTGTTCCATAGTAAGAATCCCACAAACCCAGTATTTTCAGCTTACCAATGGTTGGGTTTGGGAACGCGGAGCCCACCCGCTGTGTGTTCTCTGTGCTGTAACAAGGTGTCCAGGAAAGTTTTTCAGACAGAAAACAGCAAAGAGTTGGGCTTCTCCACCTGCACTACCGTGCCAAGGGCTCCTGCCTTAATGTACGCCCCTACTTAGGCCTCCCAGGCCACCTAGTAGGGTCTGGGGAGGTGAGAGAGAGAAAGAGTGGGTGGGGCAGCACTGGGGTGAAGGGGTCCCTTTGCCCACCAGCACTAAGTACCACCTCTCCAGTGTGGAGGGGTCTCCTGGAGGACCTAGTGGTCGGCTCACTCCCAGCTGCAGAACAGAGTCCAGGGCAGAGGTCAGGAAGAACACGGAGGTAGCTCCAGTCCAGCATCCTACAGCCTGAGCTGGGGAGGTGGGCAGACCTGTGACTCCTCTAGGTTAGAGGTGAGCTAAAGCTGGGCCACTGCCTGGGACCTGAAACTTGTCCTTTTGTTTTGTTTTGTTGTTTTGTTTTGTTTGAGACAGGATTTCATTATGTTGTTCAGGTTGAACTTATTATGTAGCCCAGGCTGACCTCAAACTTGTGGTGATCCTCCTGCCTCAGCCTCCCAAGTGCTGGATTATAGGAGTACACTACCATGCCTGACTTTTTTTCCTCAATATTGGAAATGTAACCTAATGATGCTAAGCTAGTTGTCATCATCATCATCATCTTTTTTGAGAGAGGGTCAGTCGCCCAGACTGGCCTCAAATTTGCAGTCTTCCTGCCTGTCTCCCAAGGAGCTGGGATTATAGGCATGTGCCATTATGCTCAGCAGAAATTTGTCCACTTCTGAATGTATTCTTCAATGAAAAACCACATTACTCTACATGGATAGGTTCTGCATCCATGGATTAGACTGACAGTACAGGGGACAGCCGCCCGGGTGTGGTGGTACATGCCTGGCATCTCGCCACTCTGAGAGGTGAGGGCAGGAAGATCACAAGTTCGAGTCCAGCCTGGACAAGTAGCAATGTGTGAGACCCTCTCTCAAAATAAAAAGCAAATTTTAAAATGGGAGATGTAGTTCAGTGCCAAGACCCTGGACTCAAGTCCCAGTACCACAAAAAAGGGCGGGGCAGGAAGAGATTTGCATCTGTACTGTGACCCTTCCATTAGGGGTCAGGGTCTGAAGTCAAATGATGCTCCTCGTGACCAGGCAGCCAGAGGGGGAGACACGGAGAAGCGGACACCCTTCTCCAACTTGAGCACCTTATGAGCAGGAGAAGCTGTGAGGATTTCAAGCAGGTAGGAAGCTGAGGTTTCCTTTACACCGGACCTTGGATGCTGATGACTGAAGAAATGTACAACGTGTTCCTGTCACATCCCATCAAGTTAAGCCCTTCAGTGATCTAATTACTCGGGCATTGACTTGAAGTTCAAATTGTGCTCTGGGTAGAAAAAAGATCAAGGGTCCACGGAACAGGAAGGACTGGCTATCAGGCGCATCTTCTGTGCATCTGTCCTGAGAGCGCCTGAGGCCCAGAGTCTGCACACTTGGATTTGCTCTCTTTCTCTAACAGGTGATAAAAATTTCTCTGCTGGAAAGCTTAGTTTTATCACCCATAAAATGGGTCATGAGAGAGCTGAGTAGGGTGGCACACACCAGTAATCCCCACACTCTGGGAGGATGAGGCAGGAAAATCTAAAATTTTAGCCCAACTTGGGCAATTCAATGATTTGGCAAAGAGGCAAGTGTAGAGGGTGGACCGGGGACGTAGCTCTGTGCAAAAGCCCGGGGTTCAGTCCCCAGTGCTGCATGAATACATGCAAACTAGATAAACCAATGGGTGGGTACTTGGAGAACACATCCATCCGTGGGTCTAGGGCCGAGGTCTCAGACTCAGTAGGGTGCGGAGGCAGAAGGCCCCCGATAACGAAATAGCTTCACCCGGGCGGGTGAGTCTCCAGAACACGCCAAGTCACCCTGTCCTGGTGATCTGTGATCGTAGGTTGCTCAAACATCACATTACCCACTGACTGTTTCCTCCCTGGCTCCAGGATCAGGCGGGGCATCTGCCCGGCCCACCTGGGGAAACCAAGTGATTTAAGGCATAAAGATGCTGACTCAGGGCCACTCTGAGCGTTGCAGATTACACCACCTTGCCGCATCTCCCTGTTTTTTACAAGTGACCAGCCAGGACTAGTGTCGAATGACAGGGAAGGTTCCTGCTGATCCACAAGGGGATCAGGGCTTGGTGACTGTCTCCTGTTACACCTTCACCCGCCACCCCTTCCTTTCCTCCCAAGTCATGGTTCTCATCTTTTCTTTCCTGTTAGGTCAGTGCACTTCAGAATCCTTCTGGGAAGTGTCACAACACTTCGGACTGCAAAGAACAGAAAGAACGTGACCCATCTAACCCTGCAGCTGGAGCTGGCTTCTGACCTAGCCAGGTGTGAAAGCACCCACAGCAGTGGTCAGGACTCAGTCTCTGCCCATTGGCCTGTTCTGTCCTCTGTCTCTAGAGTGGCAAGAATGGTCAATGTTTAGCAATGCTCAGCATCCCCAGAGAAAAGAAACAACTGCTAGCCTAGCATGGTGGCACATCCTGTAATCCCAGCACTCTGGGAGGCCGAGGCAGGAAGATTTACATGTTCAAGCCCATCTTAGGTCTTTAGGGAGACTGTGTCCCAGGAAACAAGAAAAACAAAACAAAAAACCAACCAAACAAAAAAGGCTGGAGATGTAGTTCAGTTCAAAGATCCTGGATTCAAAAGAGAAAAAGAGAGGCTGGGGATTCAGCTCAGCGGCATAAGCACCTGCCTTGCAAGTGAGTGGTCGTGAGTTTGATCCCCAGTACCAATTAAAGAGAGAGAGAGAGAGAGAGAGAGAGAGAGAGAGAGAGAGAGAGAGGAGAAATGTTCCCTGTGATCTCATGCAACATCTCAGCACCAAGTGTCACCTGCCTGTCCTTGAAGCAATCCCACGAACCAGAGAAATGGAGTCACTGGGCTGGGCTGGAAGGGGGCATCGGGGATCCATTATGCCCTGCTCTGTGGACACTGGGAAAGAGGTATGGATGTTTGGTGCCACCCAGCTAGGACACTTGACCTCTACTGCAAGTTATCAAGTCAAGTCATGGCGCCCGTGACTGGAACCTGGGCCCAAGAAGATGGATGAGTTTGCCATCTGCTGGGACTCTGGGTGGTCTGTCCCACTCCAGTTCCCAGGGGCAGGCTCTTGAGGACTGCAGGTACAGCTCAGGGTGTAACCAGAGCCAGTGGACGCCGCCTTCTCTATCTGGGCCCTGATCCTTCCGTGTCAGGTTATAGCTTCTGCGGGTCATGGGTCATGACCACAGTCAAGCTCTGCCCGAGTTTCTTCTTCTCTCTCACCTGCGGCCAAGGGATGAAGCCAGGCCATCATTTCCAGAGTTTGAGAGACTCTGATCGTTTCCCGGAGTCCGACAGCTCTGAAGCATCCTGCCGTGTCCCTCAGGACAGTTGCCCAGAGAAGAGCAGCTGCTGGGGCTGTAGGTTGCAGTTCATTCCTCCGCCCAAGTCATCTCTAGGGTTCACCCCATCTGAAATCTTGCCTGGGCATTCCAGGGACGGAGACGCCTGAACACCCTTCCAGGCCAACCACACGCCACACCGTGAAAGAAAGCACAGCTTTATTTCGGCTCTCACCATCCCAGCCCAAACTACCGCACGCATCCTGGGGTCTGCACCATGAGGTCCACAGCATCCCAGTGAACACAGCCCCACGGTACAGTGTCACAAATCCCCACCGAGGAGCAGCTCAGCTCACCTCCTCAGAGAGCGCTGTCTGCAGTCCACTGCAGACACGGCCGGGGATCGAGGCCCAGACCCCAAGGAGCAACACAAAGCAGAGAAGCTGGGGGGCCCGGGCCGGGCTGGGAGACTGAAGCAACACCTACGCAAGTCCCTGCTTTGGCCACTGCTAGTTCCAGCCACAGAGCCATCCCGAAGAGACGCCGTGCCAACCAAGGGCACAGGCCAGCTGGCCGAGGTAGTGTAAACACAGCTGAGGGTGGGGAGTGCCAGTGACTAAGGGAGATCCCCTCCTGCAGGAGCGACAGGGGGCTGGGGAGGCAGAAAACTGGGCTCAGGGCTCTAAGGATGGTAATGCACTGGGCCTAGGGAAAAAGGGGCCCAGAAATATCAAAAATCGAAGAGAAAGATAGGGAGAAGCTGCTGGGCAAAAAGGGGGCACCCCAAGGAGACAGAGACAGAGAGACAGACAGACAGACAGAGACAGAAGGGGTCCCATCAGCCACCCCATCCCAGCTGGTTATCAGATCACAAGCAGCTGGCCAGGGAGTGAGGCAGGGCCAGCGGTGGGGAGGACCTGCCTTTCCTGCCCGCTCCCCTGACCCCAAGCCAGACTTAGGCCCTCGATCCTCCTCCTCCTCTTCAGGGGGCTCCTGGAGCTACCACTAACCCTTCTAGCCCCAGGCTTGAAGAGGGAAGAGGAGAACAGTAGGGAGACAAAGGTAGGATCCTGAGAGCTACTACCACATCGCCAGGTCCAAGACCACCACAGCCAAAATGACCCTTCAATCCTTAGGACCTAAGTACAGAGAAACTCTTATAGCCGTTTAACAATGTAAATCATTTTTGAAAATTTGGGTTCATGTACAATTTAGGCTTTTCTTTTTTTGTTTTCATCTTTAATTTACCACCTGTGAATATAATTCAAAATACTTTTAAGAACTACACTAAATGACTCACTATGACGGCACCACCTTAGGTAACCAGAACTTTTAAGGGCTGGATTTGCTATTGCTTCTGAATCCTTTCCTTATTTTGGGAAAGAAGTCGTTAATCAAATTATCAGGGGAGAAAAGAACCCAATTTCCAGGAGCAAAAACCAAAAAATCCTGGTATGTAGCTGCCAGATGTGGGGTGTCTAGAAAACCTCAGTGCGTTGGAGTGGGGGGACCTCAAAACTGAAGTGTGCCCCGGAGAGAAGCAATCAGCCCCTGCACGTGGCTGAGGGGTAACGCGGACCCCACAGGAGTGCGGCACAGTCCTCTGGTGCTGTGCCCACAGCTTCGGCCAACTGTGGCTTGTGAAGTTAAGCCTACAGGGGTTGCACTGAATCTGTTCTTAAGATGTGTGCACGTTTCTTCCGTTCACGTTCTCTAAACAACAGCAAGTATTTACACGACATTTACACTGTGTCAGGGATATAAGTATCCTAGAGACGTCTAAAAGAGCACAGGAGAAGTGCACAGGCTCCATCGCATTTCATACATGAGACTCGAGCATCTGAGGATTTTGACATCCACAGGAGTCCTGGAACCAGGCCCCTGTGGATGAGAGAGGACTGTAAAATTTTTAAAATATACTGATTTAGAATTAATTTTAAGCATTAGCTCAAAACAAAAGCACCCCATAAGCCGAACAAAACAAGTCTAGTGGCCAGTCTAGTTACTTTTAAGAAACTCGAGATTCTGATACTTAGGGATGCTACATTCAGTTCTATGCGCCTCAGTGTGGAGAAGGATCTTGTTGCAACACAGGCTCAGCAGGTCTGGGTGGGACCGAGATTCCGCATTTCTAACAAGTTCCTTAAGAATGCTGCTGCCCCACCAGCCGCACTTTCTGTAAGAGGACTTACTTCATCCTTCCCCGTGATTCCCAGGAATTCCCCCCGTGGTTGCGTGTCAGTAATGCCTCCAGGTCTATTTGCTGACCTTCAGGGACTGGACACTCACTACCTACAGAATGCTGCAGTTACTGCTAACTTCGTCCAGGGTGGCAGTGGCAGAGGACAATAAGAATCCAACGCGCCAAAGCCCGGGCTCCAGCACACTGGAGATTCACAAAGGAAACTGCGCAAGTGGGGGGACTTGCTAGAACTGAATGTTACTGCGAAGAGCTAAGCAGAGGGGACTTTCTGTCCAACTGTCTGCTCAGCAGCGGTCAGTTAAACAGAGAATACTCCTAGGCTTCCACTGTCCTGGTTAGTAAAGTTCGGTGCAGTTTAATTTCCTTCCCCCAAAGCCTCAAAAGAAGCTTTTCTCTGTGCATCAGCCACTGACTTGGTTTTGTCCACTGGAGAAGCAGCCAGTTGCTGACCAGCAGGCAATGGAGTCTTTAGGCCTAACAGAAGCCCGGCCTCGCCTGGCCACGTGACCACCCCTGCTTCAGTGAAACCCAAGGCCTCCACCTCCCCTGGGGTGGCAATCCCAGGCCTTCCTTCGTGGGTCCCTGAGAGACCCTGGAAAGTGAGCATCCCCCACCCCAACACCCCCTTGTGCACTCAGGCTCTTTAAGCCTGGGACCCTATAGTCACCAAGTACGCCACAGTGTCCAAGTTCCATGGCCAGACATTCTGAAGCCCGGCGGTCAGTGCCGGGCCACAGGGCCAGTGAAAACCACTTAGGTCCTTGTCATTCCACTGTTGAAAGGAACCAAAGCCCTGAGATCCAGTGAGACCTTCCCAAGGCCACTCAGCTGGTTTGCAGCCAGTTCTTGTAAAGGCTCAGAATCCTTGGAGGCAGAGCTGGACAGATGTCACTGGAATTAGCCCAACTTTCAATCACTTATAGCAGCAACTTTCAGGAAAAAGGCCTTCCGGAAAAACCCTAAGGGACAGAGGAGTGCCTGAGAGGGATGTGGAGGAAAGGAGTTGAGGGGTTCACCTAGAAAGGGAAGGGTCATGGGTCAGAGGTTCTTGAAGGAGGATGGTGGGCAGAGCATCCGCTCTAACGAAACTCCAGGGACAAGTTCCACATCTTCCTCCTGCCCAGGCTGTCCCCAGAGCTCTGTCTCTTGTGCAGCATACAGCTTGGGAGTCATCAGAGGAGGAGGTGGGGTCAGGGGAGAAGTCTCAGGAAGTCACAACCACAGGGCTCCCTAAAGGTGGATTGCTGGGCTGCTCCATACCTACAAACCAGTATCCTGTGGCAGGTGCTCCCTCCCAGGGAAATCCCTGGGTTTAGGGACCAGCCTGTGCACTAACTCACAAAAGGATCTGGACATCTGGTGTGGGTGGGATTCTCTGCAGGGAGGGCTGGGCCTTGGGTGGGATTCTCTGCAGGGAGGGCTGGGCCTTTGGGCTATTGAGGAGGCGCCATCCCACTGGAAGCGTCCCCTAGAGGTGTCTGGATGGAAGCCTCAGGAGCAGCAGCTACCTGTCCCCAGCTGGGCCTCACTTCCCTGAGAACTGGCCCGGCCTGGCTTTCTCCAGCTTGCGACGCCGGTCTGGGGGGATCTCCTGCAGGCTGATGCCGTGGTTGCTGGCCCTGTGGAGGGAGGGCAGCGGCCTCAGGGAAGAGGACTGGAACGGGAGCGCCCAGGACGACGCTATTTCGCGCCAAGGTCAGACCCAGAGCTCTAAAACCGGACCAAGCGTCCAGTCCTGTCTCCCCGCCCAGCCCCCGCAGGCCGATCCCTCACCCGGGCTGCAGGTCAGGCGGTTTGGGGAGGGGCTTGTTAAAGCCGAGTCTGCCCACCAGCCAGAAGGTGTCCTCAGCGCCCTTGCCCTGGAAAGACAGCGCAGGGGAGACTTGGGGGTCCTGGGGTGAGGACCTGGAGAGTCGGGTGACACAGGACGCCCCAAGGAGGGGGCGAAGGGCACGCCCTGCCTCACCTTCAGCTCGGTGCGGCCGCGCAGCTCCATCTGGAAGCCCTGATCCAGAGCGCGGAGGATCCGCACGGTGCTCATGTTCACATGAATGCGGTAAGCTGCAGGCGCAGGATGCGCAGGGGAGTCACCTGGCCTGCTCACCTCCTGGACTTTCCCACCCTCTGGTCCCGCCCCATTTCCCCCAGTCCCCCATGCACTTACGCAGCCCAGTGGACTCCATGCGCGAGGCAGTGTTGACTGTGTCCCCAAACAGGCAGTATCGGGGCATGGTGAGGCCCACCACGCCGGCCACGCACGGGCCTGCGGAGATTCCCAAAGTCGGCTGGTGGTGCCCAGCAGCTGGGCTGCATCTAGAGCTTTGAAGGAAAATCTCCCTGCCCACTTCAACGGAGCCAGGCCCTGACCAAGGAGCTACCTGAGTGCAGGCCGATGCGAATGCGCACGGGCACCTCTGGCATATGGCGCATGCGGAAAGAGCCTACGGCACTGAGGATGTCCAGAGACATGTTGGCAATCTCTGCAGCATGCCGCTGCCCGTTCCTCTGGGGCAGCCCCGAGGCCACCATATAGGCATCCCCGATTGTCTCCACCTGGGGGACGGAATTGTGCCGATTCAGTACTGAGCGCACCCACTCCCAACACACAAGTGTCTACTGCCAGATATGCAAGGGGCGAGGCTGTAAGCTGGGGCTGAGCTGCAAGTGGAGGGGAAAACTAGGCCTGGGAAAGAGGATTAGACTGTGGCCTGGGCAGATGGAACAGGTGAGCTAGCGGTCAGGAGGGCTTGTCCTGAAACACTCCACCTTGTAGACATCATGGGAACCAATGATGGCATCAAAAAGGGTGTAGAGGTCGTTGAGCAGGTCCACCACCTCAATGGGCTCACTCATGGCTGAGATGGTGGTGAAACCCACAATGTCACTGAAGTACAGTGTCACCTCTTCGAAGTACTCTGGCTCCACCGGTATTCCCATCTTCAGGGCCTCGGCCACAGATCTAGGCGTGGCGGGCAGGGGGGGTCACATGGAGGCCTCTGGCTGGGCCCCAGCTGCCCCTCCCGCCCTCCCCACTGGCACCCACGGAGGCAGCATCTGTGTGAGCAGCCTGTCTGTCTTCTGTTTCTCCTGCTCCAGCTCTTCTGTGCGCTCCCGGATCAGGTCCTCCAGGTTGCTGGAGTACTGCTCCAGCATTCGAAGCATGGAGTCGATGATGTTCATCTTGCGGCCCTTGTTGATGCTCTTGAACTGGGAGAAGGCAGACGCTGGTAAAGGTCCTGTTACCAGCCACCTCCGGGGGTTGTGTTCCTGACACCCCGCTACCATGTATCCTCTGGTCATCAAGCACTCCCGAGGTGCTTGGTACTGTGTCTTTATAGGCAAATGGCAAATGACAGTTCCCAGAGGTAGTTGATCTCAGCTGGGAATGAACAGTTCAGCCTTTGACCCCTGGGACCCCAGGGACCAGTCCAGCCCTTGCCCAGCCCCAGCCCCTGACCAGGTCAAAGGTGTGATCCATGGAGGGCCGAAGTTCCGGCTGCTCTGCCCAGCACTGTGTCATCAGCTTGATGCACTCCACGGGTGCCTGGTCCATGGACACCACAGGCCGGCACAGCGGAGGGGGGCTCTGCACCCTCTGTATCACCTCTGGGGACATGAGGGAACAATGAGGGTGGGCACCCCGGAACAAAAGCCACCTCTGACTCGGGCTCGGTGTTGGAGTCTAAGCTGGGAACTGGTAGAGGGTCCTTTAAATCAGAGCTTCAGCGGGCAAGGATAGTGTGTGAGGGGGTCACTAGGAGGACAAGAGGACCTGAATCCCGGGCATCAATCAAATGACACAGAACTAACATTTAAGAAAAGTCAGAGAAGTGAGAGCTAGGCTGGTCAGGTAGCTGGCTCGGAGTCCTGTAGGTGAGTAACCTGGATTTGAATCAGAAGAAACTGACCTGTTACCCTTCCCTTCCTCTCCTGCTGCCTACCCAGGACACGGAACCTTGAGGAAACCTGATTCCCCGGATGAGGAGTAGGTTGATGCCAGGACAGAAACTATTGAGGTCAGGGCTCTGAGAAGCACCCCACCTCCATTCTCCTGGTCTTTTTTTTTTTTTTTTTTTTTGGTACCAGGGAGCAAACTCACGACCTCATGCTCGCCAGGCATATCCTGACCTTTTAGGGAGCTTTAAGGGAGACCTTTCTTGATTACATCTCATCACTGGGTTTTGCTATAGGGAAGGAAGCCGGGCAGGACCCAACCTGGCTTTATCTACTGTACGGGGCCTCCCTGGCCTCTCTGGCCTCTTACCCTCGGGGGTCAGCTCCAGCATGGCGTAGGGCATGCTGCGGCACACGACCTCCTGCATAATGATGCCCAGGCTAAAAACGTCGCCAGCTAGAGACCCCTTGCGCTCCAGGGCCGGATCCCGCAGCAGCTCGGGGGCTGTCCATAGCTGATCTGGGGATGTGGAAGGGGCCATGGGCTCCTAGAGGGCCGTGGGAGCTCTGGGGACAGATCGCCATGCCCACAAGAAAGCCCACGGGGATGCCCCAACTGCTGCAGAGACTGGGGCACTCAAGGCCAAAGTCCCTCCATCGAGGGGGGCAGGGAGGTCCCCGAAGCCCCGACCTAAGCACCCCAGCGCCCCCAGCCCAGCCCACTCTCCGGTGTGGCAGGGGCCAGTCAGCCTTTCCCCAGCTGCAGTCGTGCGCGTGGGCGTGGACTGGGGAGGAAGAGAGTGAGGAAAGATGGGGTTTCTGGGGGTGCTCGCGTGCTCCCCAGGCAGTGGGGACTCCTACCCTCCGCGTTGGGGGGCTCCGGTAGCACCCTCTGGGCTTCCAGCAGTCGCCCGTGGCCGTGGTCGGTGACCTTGAGCACGAACCTCCCGTCCACCACGCAGTTGCGTGATTTAAGCCGCCCGTGGGCCACGCCGCGATGGTGCAGATACCTCATTCCCTGGGAAGGGGTGGGGAAGGAGGCAGCCTCGGCCCTGTGGTCCTCCCGCCCCCTGCCCCCTGCCCCCAGGACGCCCCAGCCACCCCACACTCACTTTGATGAGGTCCAGCAGGAGGGAGGACTTGAACATCCAGTCCAGCTTTATGTCTCTCTGGGCGAGGAGGTCCTGGAGGGAGCCACGCGCGCAGTGCTCCGAGACCACGGCCAGCATGCGCTCCCCGGGGCCAGCCGGGCTGTCTGCTGTCCCCGCCAGGAACAGCCCCAGGTAAAGGGCCACGTTCTCGTGCCGGAGCTCCCGGAGCTGGGAAGGGAAAGTGGATGGGCACTTTCTGTCCTGGGCTGGGTGGAGAGGGGGCGATGTTCAGTGCCCCGTGAGTACTTTTTAAAAAATTTTTCCTACACTGTGGATGGACCCCAAGGCCTGCTGTATGGTAGGCAAGCACTCTACTGCTGAACCACACCCCCGGCCTTCCAACGCCTGTTTTTGAGCACCCCAATGAGGAAGATGCTTATTCTGGTTATTTTAACCTTAATATCCGTCCTCTGCCCAGTACCAAGCAGCCTGGGTCTGGCTTTCCTGGTAGCTTCCTGAATGAAATGGCCCACAGGTTGTGGAGTGTGGGGGAGGACTTCCTCCTCCGGATATTTATGGCTTTGGAAAAGAAGGCCCCTTCCAGTATTGAATATGGCTGGGTTCAAAGATACAAACAAAAAGTCAACCCCGGGAAGGGACCTATTTATTAGCCATAAATCTATCAAATGCTCCCACCTTACAGGGAACACCATCACTGGTCCCTGAGGTGACAGTCTGTGGGGAGAACCAGGGAAAGGCTGTGTAACTGTAGGCGCCCAGGGCTCCAGTTCGGGAAACTTGAGACTGAGTGGTCAAGCTCTGGTCATGGAGGGGCCATCAATCAGGCCACACCCACTGGCAGGCACACCCACTGGAAAAATAGGAGTAATCAGGTGACTTGGTGCTCTCTCTAGCTTTTGGGGGTCCACATGCCCAGTAAGGGCTTCTTTTCATTTTAAGTCGGTGGTGCTAAAGGCAAGTTCATTGATTGATCCATATAGGCAGCCCATGTAAGTTATTGTGCAGCTCTGACCATGAGCTCCTGCAGGAAGCTAGCAGGAAAGCCAGACCCAGGCTGCTTGGTACTGGGCAGAGGAGGAACATTAAGGTTGAAATAACCAGAACAAGCAGTCTGCTGCCCCCTGCCAGCTTTCCACTTTGTTTGACACATTGATATAGCTAGCGGTCAGCCAGAAGTGGAAACTCACTTTTCATCACTCAACAAATATTTACTGAGTCTCTAATATTCTAAATCCTGGGCTAGGTGTTGGGAACAGCACAGCAAAGTCCTCACTCAGCTTGCAGTGTGTGAGGGAGGCAGATAAATAAGCCAGCCCTTCGATTCACATGTAAATTAAATAAGCCAGCACATAAATGAACACGTAGTCACAAATAAGTTGTGATAAAAACAGCCAAGAAAAGACCTTAGGCCACAGGAGGAAATAATGGGATATGTGCTCTAGAGTAGAGGGGATACTTAAGAGGGAAGCGCTGAGGGCCGCCCCACGGCCCCTCACAGCCAGACTCTCACCTTGGAGAAGGCTGTCTTGGTTGCTGGGCGGATGGCTGTGTGGTGATGCCCTGGGAATTTCTTCAACCAAACCCAGTCTCCCTGCAGCAGAGAGGACGGGGTTAGGGGACTCGGCCTCCCAAAGTCCCACAAGGCAAGAGGCTTAGAGACCCCCAAAGTGAGAATGGCGTGATGCTCTCTAGAGGCCTCTCGGGGACTCCTGTGCCCTCTCCATGTCCTGGAACTTGGGATCTCTACGTTCCGTCTCCTCTTGACCAGCTGGGCTCCCTCTAGGCTCTCTCTGACTCTTCTGATTTCTCCCACCCACCCCACCACATTTGGATTTGCTGGCCCCATGGTCAGTGTCCTAGGCTTCTTCCTCCTTTTTTTTTTTCCTGACCAAGGCCCTGCTTTTCCTAAGTCTCATCTGAATTGGATTAAAATGCTGAGGAGCAGGTTCAGGAGTTCCCAACACAGCGGGAGTGGCCTCAGGGGCCACACCAGCTTCCAGGCACCATGACTGGCCTTCGAGGAGCCATGGCTAGGGGGAAACCCTCCAGCACCGAGGATTGCCAAATTCAGAATCAGGTCAGGATTGAGGAATCCATGTGTGTCCCTAAATCCTGCCTGGGCTCTCGTCCCCGTGCCTGGAGCCTGCAGGCTTTGGCACGAGAGAGTTCTCTGCCTGGGGTCTGAGCATTCCTCACCCTCTCCCCCGATGGAACAGAATTCAGCCTTTCCAGGGGTCAGGCTCACCTCATAAAGGCCCATGTTGGAGCTTTCCTGGGTTTGGCTGCGAATGTCTGACACACTGGGCACAGCCAGGCTCAGGCGACTCCCCTGGGCCACCTAAGGGGACAGAGGTCAATGCAAGGGGTCAGACATGTTCTCGGATTAGACTTCTGGATTGAGGTCAGGCTGTTTTGTAGATAAAAAGGGAAAGGTAAGGAATTTCAGTTAGTGAACATGATGTTGGCATCTCTGGGAGGGCACACTCACTAAACACACTCTTTTTCTTGTTAGAGCTTCAGGAAAGTGGCCAGGATAAAGGGTGTCACCACCACTGCACAGATGAGGTTACTCTGCAAACTAGGAATGGGAGTGGAGGGGAGGCAGAAGCCGGGCTTCCCACCGGGAGGCTGAGGTGACAGCTGGTTCAAGAAGGGATCAAATAGACAGGGAGGGAGGAGACAGCCAGCTCCAGGCTCCTTTTCCCCACCTTCCGAGAGCTGCCCCCTTGTGGCTGGAGGAAGGTGATGTCCTCCACAGTCAGGATGATCTTGTTGGGGCCGGAGACCATTTGGTTGTGAAGGAGCCGGTGCCTTGTTTGAGCAGGTCATTCCCATGAGAAGAGGCCAGCGGGGTTGGGGCGAAGGGACGGTGTTAAGTCGGGGAAGGGCAACGGGCCGCAGGCATCCCCAAAGCAAATGTCCTCAGAAATCCCACCAACCCTCCAAAATCCTCGTTCTCCTTCCCAGGAAAAGCCCTTCCCTCCTCCACCCGCACACAGGCTCTGTCTGATACCTTTGCTGCCCAGTGTCATGCCTGGCACGCGGAGAGGCAGCGTCACCTCCTAGTTATACATCACCCCACTCACCTCATGTAGTGGGCCAGGAAGGCACCCTTGAGCCCCAACGCTACCACCAGGAGGAAGCCAACAAAGACCAGGCCAGGCTCCAGTCCTGAAGGAACAGGGAGGGGGGCGGTGCTCAGGCCCTCGGTTGGGCAAGATGCATCCTTCCAGGGAGGAGGACAATCATGGCAAATCCTGGAGGTTCCAGGAAATGGGGAGGATGGGGGCTGGGGGAGGCTCTGGGGGAGAGCACAGATTCCTCAAGGGGGAATTGGAAATGTTAAAAAGGTTCCCAGAAGCACGAGGTCGTAAGTTCGATCCCCAGTACCAAAATAAATAAATAAACGGGTAAATAAATAAATCAGTTCCCAGGAATTTTGGGTACTCTGCAAGAGTGGAGTTCTGTGCAAACCAAGGAGGACCTGGAGAAGCATGAGAAGAAACACGGGATAAGAGATGACCCTCTTTCACAACTGTGACGATCCTTGCTGACTGTCCCAGTGGAAACAGGTTACTGGCCCTCACCTCCATTGCAGATATCATTTGGATCAAACCAGCACCAGGGATCTGGCCCGGGCCCCTGGCCACCTCGTGGGAAGTGCACTGGACTCCCTGCAGAGCTCAGGTGGCCCCGGGAAGGGTCCAGCATATGAGTGACAGACAGTCGGTCTCCAGTGGCGTCAGTGTCCAGCAGCACAAAAGAGGGCTCCTCGGTTCCTCCCAGGGCCCCACAGAATCCAGGGACTTGGGCATCCTGGACGTGGCGAGCCACCGAAACTCCGGACACCCAGCTGCCACCAGAGGCGGCCTGGGCTCCCACCACACCCCCAGCCAACAGGATGATCGAGTCATAGATGGTGCCGAAGAGCGGGGAGACCTGGAGAAGCAGAACCACAGCAGAGGGGGACTCAGGGCTCAGAACCACGGGTTGCAAACTGGTGGGAATTCTTTGGCTCCAACCGCTCTTCCTCTGGGTCCTTCAGGCCCTGTGCTGTGACTGGTCCCACCTCGGTACTGTTCTCTGAATCCCGTTCCATCACCTCCTCCGCGCTCCGTCCTGGGTGTCCCCACTGGCTATCTCCCTTTTCCCCATGGCTATGTCTTGCTGTCACTGCACGGTCTAGCTCTTCCACTCTTCCCACTGGCTACACCACTTAGCTGGCCCCTGCCCACCTGGACCTCTTTTCTAAAACTGGACTCTTTTGGTCATACTTGGTTGATTCTGTCACCTAAGCTGTACCATTCACTTAAAAGCCTTCTTTCTCATCGTTTGGGTGGCTTCTTCTCCCTTCTGTCCCCCTCCTCAAGTTGCCACCTGAGCTCATGGGACCTTTGTGCTGGTCCCAGTTGCTCTTAAAGTCCCAGGCCCAGTGTTGGTGCATGAGACAGTCCCTGCCTTCAGGAACCTTTTGTCTAGTCAGGGAGATGGGCCCAGATGTTAGAGCCAGGCACTGTGTGAAGGAAGGGGGAACTGAAGGGAGTGTGGGGACAGGAATGAGGGTCCCCAGCACAGATGGGAGAATCAGAAAATGCTTCTGGAAGTAATGACCACCTTCACAGGGAAAGTCAGAATTATCCAGAGGACAGTGGGACGGAAGAAAGGAAGTCACAAAATCACCAACTCTGGGCAAAAGAGGCCAACTTTATGGACCCCAGCGTGGCCCAGGCTAGCTGAAGTCCACGGAAGACAGAAGAGAAGGGAAGAGTCAAGTCCCGTGTGAAGCACCCGCGTCCCTATAGGGTCATGAGCGCCTTCATCCTGGGCTCCAGCAAGGCCACCGGGAGCTACTAGGAGGCTTTATCAGGGACGTGACTGGCAGGTTTTGGCAGGTTTCTGGAGCTGGTTTTTGGGTTGCAGAAGATCAGGGCTGAGAAAGAGCAGCAGTGAGCATTTGGGAGATTTCGTCCTAGGATTTGGGCAAGAAGTGCGGTGGCCTGAACCAAGGTAGTGACAATCAGACCAAGAAAAGGGATGGATTCAAGTGACTACAAGTAAAAGTCCCAGAGTTTGATGTCCGGCCGAGGACAGCCAAAGGTGGAGGGACAGGGCTGTGTCCCTTGGATCTGATGCAAGCCGTCAGGGGTGAGCAGCGAGCTCACCGGGCCCCAAAGAGAGTGTCCCTCACCTTCTCTCCCCGTCCACCTCCATCGGTCCTCTCATGTTCTCTCCCTGACCCTGCCCATTCTGTCTTCCCCGGCCACCCCGGGTCGTGCTGGGGGCCGGAGGGAATGTTTCCAACCCCTTTGATGCATACACAGCCTTCTCTCATGCGGTCTCCTTCGAATATGACCTTTCTGGTGGATCGTTTCCTGCCTATTAATGTCTCAATTTCCTTCTGTATTAACGGTTTCTTGTCCCCGTTGGTGACAGGTGGGGATAGGTGGTATGTATGAATTGGGATTCTGGGGACTTAAGGAATCCTGGGTATTAACTGGATGTGGGGGTAAATATTGGATCTAATTAGGGGAGCTGCCAGCACCACAAAGATGTCAAGGACCCTCCAAAAGTTAAGCCCACCAGATGAGGCCCCAGAGGAAGAGCCTCTGAATGAGGCAGGAAGCTGGACCTGCCTCCTCCTCCTCCTCTGCTGCTTCTTGGTAACATCAGCTGTTTCTTGTGGACTGTTGCAGTTCTGGAAATGAGTTTTTTTTTTGTTTTGTTTTTGTTTTTAAGCAGGCTGAAAATGATACTGCAGTTTAGATTCTACCTCTTGGAGTGGTCTTGAGCGGTCTCATTGCCTACTCTCTGGAGGTAACCCTAGTACTTTAAAACACCCCAACTAAGACTGTGTGACCTAGGAAACTCCCCAATAGCTGGAGCTGCTGTCCTGGCTGGCCCCATGGACTTCCCTGCTCAGGTTGGCCTCTTCCCGCCTTCCCCTCGCCTGCATCCCTCTACCTGCTGCAGGTTGAGGTCGGAGGGCAGCTCCTGGTGCTCCTGGGCCCTGAGCAGGCTCTCCAGCACGCTGCCTCCCGGAGGACAGTGGCGCGTGAGGGTGAGCACAGCGTCGTGGGCCCTGCGAAGCCGGGAGCTGTTGGCAATCGCAGACAAGACCCCTGGGCCCGGGGACAAGGCATAGTGGAGGGTGTCGAAGGGCAGGAAGACCAGGGAGCCGTCGGCCAGGCCCAGCTCCTCCGCGGCCTCCAGCAGGCAGCGCTGCTCCTCGCCGCCCAGCAACACCGAATGCATCACCATGATCACGGCTGCAGACAGACACAGAAGCTTGGCTCAAGGCGCTGCGCCCAGCGGGCAGCAGGACCTGGCGGGCAGCAGGGCTTGCTGACCCCTGTCCTGCAGGGGAGCCTACCTCTGACGCTAGGCCCGTCCAGGACTCTCCTCAGGGCCTCCCGGGCTCCGGGCAGATCCGAGGACTCCATGGAGGTCACCAGAGCCACTGGCAGTCCCCGGGCCCTGAGCGCAGTGGACAGAGCCTGGCCGGCCTCCACCCACAGGTCCTGGGGGCCGGTGACCAGGGCCACGCGCGCCCAGCGGAAGCTTCGGAGGAGGATGTAGAGCGCCTCCGCGGCCGGGGTGGTGGCCGGGGCTGTGGTGCCCGCCGATCGCGCCCCGGGGCAGCCCCAGGGCAGCAGCGTGACCCCAGCCTCTTGAGCCAGCAGCTCAGCTGGCCGGCAGGCCGCAGGGTTCACGGGGCCCACGAGGCCAGAGACGCGGGACAGTGCAGAGGACACGGCGCCCAGCGACCCCGGCGTCCGGCAGGGTTCCTGCAGCAGCGCGACCTCAAAGCGCGGGCCACCTTGCTGGGCAAGGTCACCGTTGAGGCGGGCGGCGGCCAGCCGCGCAGCCAGGCCCGCGTGCGCCCGGGCGAAGATGGGGTCGCAAGTCCAAGGGCCCAGCACCCCCACTTTGAACACGGCAGAGAAGGCAGCGGGTGGAGGGAAGAGCAGCAGGAGTAGGAAGCGGAGCAGCCCTGGCCACGGCTGGGCCCGCTGGAGGCCGGGTGCAGGGCGCGCGCACTGCGCAAGGGCCCAGCCCTGGGCATCGGGAAGCCCACCCGCGTGGAGGGCGCACGCGGTCATCGCCGGCTCTGTGGACCCAGACCCGGCAAGATGAGCTGCTGAGACCCCCCCAGAGCTCCCACTGGGCTATGCATACAACCTCGCTTCTCAAAATCCGCTTAATTCATGGGGTATCACCGCTCCCAAAGCCCCCACCCCAAACCTGGGCTTCTAGATGGGAGCCAAGGACGCGGCTTGCTGGCCCCTTGGGCCTCCCATGCCAAGATTTACCAACTTGTTTATCCTCCCCTCACCCCAATCCTCCCATCTGAGCCTTTGGGGACTGCAGAACACAGGCCAGGCCCCCACCCGCCCTCACCCAGGACACGAGGCCCAAGAAAGGGGTCTCTGCCACTCACCGGGAAGTCTAGGGCCCGGGCCTAAGGCCCGGATGAGGGGTCACAGGATGGATCCCCTTCTGTCTTCCTGCCAACCTAGCCCAGGGCGGGGGTGTGGGAGCAGCAGGCCAGAGCCCTTAATCTCCTCAAGCTGATTAGGGTCCCTTAATCAGGCAGGGAGGGGCAGGCCAGAGGAGGATGCCAGGTGGAGGAGAGGCCCTGCTGTGCCTCTGCTTGGTGGGAGCCGGGGCTGCTCTCCTCCAGGCTGGGCTTGAAGTTTTGGTCCGCCTGCCTCACCCTCCAGAGTGCTGAGGTCACCTGTGTGCACCACCACACCTGGCTGAAAACCCATTTTAAAAGGAATCGTTTTTCAACCATCATGAAGTTCAGATCAGGTCAGAATTATCCATGCATAGTAAAGCTAGGTGGAAATTTTGACGAGGAGCAGAATATTTTGATGATCTTGAAGTATTTCTCTAGAACAGGAAGAGAATAACCATTGTATAACTACTGTCTGCCTTGTGTGCATCTCAGAACATCCCCTCTGGAGACGTGAGGTGTCTGGCTAATTTTGATCACTTGCTCAGTGTTACCCCATTTCTCCATTGTATAATTGTAATTCCTTCTTTCCCTCTGTTTTCCTCCCCTGATACTCTTCCACTCCAGCAATCTGCAAGAAAATATTTTAAACCTATATTTTAGACCTATATACCTATGCAGGAAATGCTATAAATAATGTCCATATCAACCAAAAAATGGCAACTGATAAAATTGGAATGTGCACAGATTTGATAGAAGGTATAAATTTAAATGTAAGAAGGTAGGTTTTTTTCTCAGCTGAGGAGTGAGTTGCTGCTGGCGGTGGGCAGCTCACCACTGCCCAGGCTCCTTGACAGAGGAAAAACCTGAAGTCACTTCGGGTTCGCTTTGTGTTTGGGGGAAAGCAGTAGACATACTGGAGCTTTTAGAACTTCGGCTATCAAAACTTTCCGAATGACTCGGGATGGGAGCCTCGGGAACTGCAGGGGCAAACTGGGGCGGATCGGTGACTCTGCTGGCATTGTAAGGAAGGCCGTGTGATCCTGGGATGTGCTCCGGCTGGAGAGAGAGGGCTTTGAGGAGCTGGTACAATCTGATATTTCTCGAAGAAAAAGAAGGTAAATCCATCTTTTCCCTTCACTGAAAGCAAAAATCTGCTAATAATGGTCGCCTTAGCATCCCAGTCGGATCATGATTGTGGAGCAAGAGGTCGTGAGCGTCTAAGACGAAATGCACCCATCTGTCTATATGCTTCTTTCTTTCTTTCTCTTTCTTCTTAATTTTGTATTTTCCCTCCAACAGCAGTATGTAGAGGGAATATTGTGGAGATGCTGCTGACTCCACCACCCCCATGCTCACCTCTTGAGCTCACCTATCGGGAGGCCACGTGAGGGAGAAGTCTGGGCTGTTAAGTGGAAAAGTGTCTTATGTAAATTTGAGCTGGAGAATACTATGTTAAGAGTGTGATTTTAAAACTTAGTTGGGCTTCATTTTAAAACATTTTTAAAAACTCAATTATTTCACTTGCTATGCTAGTGATAGCAGTCACTTAGATAGCAGTCCTGACAGTGCAAATTTATAGGCAGTTTGGCAGTGCCTAGAAGAGGTGAAATAATCCCACTTGTAGTAATTGAAGAAGGATCTCAACTCAGAGATCCAATTCTGTGCCTGGTGCTGACAGCTCAGGGCCAGCACGGCATGTGCGGGCCACGGGGATGGACCCTAACACCAGAGGCCAGTCTTCCTTGCCAGGCTCCACCCAAAGATGCCACCATTCCCAGCTGCTTGTCACCACATAATTGGTGTCAAATGGAAATCTTTTCTGAAATGGGACAGTGTTTTCCCATGTAGCTTAAGCCTAGTAATATAAATAAAATAATAGTTGGCATATAAATAAATTTATGAAGATACTACTGTGCTGTGGTTATCTTAGAGATTAACCTTGTTCCTAAGAAATACACACAGAAGTATTTAGTGGCAAAACATCGTAATGTATGTAACTCACCCTCACAGTTCAGAAGAAATATACAATATATAAATAACATATAGTATTGTGTATATTTTATATTTCAAAGAATAAAAGAGGCAAATATTAACAACAGGTGAATCCAAGCAAAATGTACAAAGAAACCCGTTGTGGAGACATATGACTGTAATCCCAGCACTCCAGAGATTGAAGTAGAAAGATTAATAGTTTGAGGCCAGCCTGGGTCACATAGTGAGTTCAAGGCCAACCTGAACTACAAGGAGATGCCCTGTCTAAAAAAATAGGTGACGGGAATAAAGGAGTTCTTTGCATTATTTTTATTGCAAATAAAAGTTCATCAGAAAACTTAAAAAAAGACAGTGTCTTTGTTAAACATACCAAAAAGTCAAACCATAAAAAGAAAGATTAATACATATTAAAAATTAAAATTTAAAATGTCTGATCTGAAAAGCACATGAGGAAGAGAAAACATTAGCCGGACTGCAAGATATTTACAAAACACTAGTTATACTCTCTACTGATGTGTGCCTATATCAATCTGAATCTATCTGTATCTTTAATTATATAAAAGATAACAGCATAAAATTGGGCAAAAGATATGGTTGAGCACATCAAAAAAATGCCTAAGGAAAAAACACAAACCTTGCTTACAGCAAAGGAAATACAGAATAAAATAACTCTCAGATCTTATTCAGATTAGTAGAAATAACACAGTGTGACAACACCAAAGCCTTAGATAGCAGTCGTGACAGTGCAAATTTATAGGCAGTTTGGCAGTGCCTAGAAGAGGTGAAATAATCCCACTTGTAATTGAAGAAGGAGAAATTACTAGTGATTGGGGAGGGGGCAACTTGTACCAGGAATCAGTCATGTGTTCACTAAAAACATCTGTATTGGATTTTACTCTGTGTCAAGCACTGTTCTAGGCTTCCAGGATGCAGCAGTGGATAAAAAGTTTAAAAGTTTCTGTTCTCATGGAGATTACATTTTGGTGATTATTAAACATATTATTATTAACATATTATTAAACATAATAAGCAAGACCAAAAGGTAAAATTCGTACTAAAAGGTAAACAATAAAGTACTCTTAGTCTCTGGTGGGAGACAGTCAGTGCTGTACTTAGGGGTTCTCGGTCTGTTTACTGTACTTTATTACTTAATTTTTAAAATTATCGTTAAATATGCGACTTATACTGGAGTCATTGTTCAGTTCTACGGTCCTGTGCCTCTTACCTTTCACAGGAGTTATTTCCCATCCTTTCTGTCACTGGCTAGCGTGAGTTCTTGTTTCAGTGGTAACAGAAATTAAAACTCCAGGCAACAGCACAAATGTACAGGTAAAGGGTTTACTGAGAGGGAGGAGAAGACAGGAGGAACCTCAGCTTGAGAAGTAAAAGGGACCCAGCTCTGGCGAGCAGGGCTGGGCTGGCTGGGCTGTGGATGTAGCTCAGCGGCATAAGCGTCGGCCTTGCAAGTGTGCAGTTGTGAGTTCGATCCCTGTTACTGAGAAAAAACAAAAACAGGAGGCTGATTTGGCTAAATCAATCACTTCCCAGTTTGTCTCTAGAGTTCACTGACAGACCATGTAGGTGGGGACAGTTTTTAAAAGTTTTTGTGGCAAGATACACATAAGATAAAATGTGCCGTCATGAACATTTAAGGGTCCAGCTCAGTGGCACTAGGTACATTCACCCTGGTGCAAGCATCAGCGCCCCCGACTGCAGACCCTTCACCTTGCCCAGCCACAGCTGTGCCGTGAGACGCTGGCTCCCGCTTCCCCTGCCCAAATCCCGCAGCCTCCACTCTTCCCTGCCCTGGGAATCTGGTCATTTTAGATATCTCATGTAAATAAAGTCACACAATGCTTGTCATTTTCCACCTGTTTTTTTCACTTGTATAATGTCTCTAGGGTCCGTCTTGTGAGCGTGTTTAACCACATCCTTCCTTTTAAAGCTGAAACATACACATATATCACTTTTATTCATCCACTTATCCGTCCAATCCCACCTTCTGACCATTGCAAAAATAGCTACTATGAATACATACGGTTCTGAGTCCCTATTTTTGGTTCTTTAGGGCATCTAGCTAGAGGCGGATTTGCTGGATAATTCTATCCTATGTTCATTTTATTTTTAATTGTCTGAGCAACTGGTATACTTTTCTACAGCAACCATGCCATTTTATGTCACGTTGCAGAGGGAGACTATTTTCAAGCCCACCTGGCCCTTGCGGGTGGTCCTCTGGCCAGCCCCTGCCACCACACTGCCCTCCCTTCTAGAGAAGCCAGGTTTGCTTCCCAGGCTTCTACTTCTTCTCTGATGCCCGCTAATTAAACAAAACCTGCCCTCTCTGCATAAAGGTCAGAACCACTTTTTAAAGTAGCAGAATTATATTTTAATCCAACTACTATAAACGACCTTAGCTGCTAGGAGAGCTCTCTCAGGAAGGTCCTGATTTCTCTTTATAAGAAAAAGAGGAAAAGGTTTCTGCTAAGATCTTCAGACCTCTTCCGCTGCCATCCTGAACTTCAGAGGGCCTGGCAGAGGGATGGGAAGCGTCTGTCTGCGGGGCTACTTCTGTTTATGCTATTGGAATAGCAAACAAAGAAAAGTTATTCTTTAAATTTAAATGAGGCAGGACTGGGGATGTCGTGCAGGGGCGCAAGAGCCTGCCTGCGAGAGCAAAATCACAGTAGTGCCCCCAAAATAAAATAAAATAAAAAGAAATTTAAGGGAGGCAACATAACTTTGGGGGAAAAAACTGACCTGAATCTCAAGAGTATCAGAGCAGTCTGCAGGTTAGGGATGGGAAGGGTTCGATAATAAATAAAGTAATCAATTAATCACATTCAAAATTATCTGTGATGATACAAACAGCTATTTTGAAGAAAACAAGACATTATAATAGCCAGTGCTGATTTAATATCATCTTGTTTTGAAGTCCTACCGTGCTTTTGTTCTTCTGTTTCCATTGGTTCTATCATGTTGTATCTTATTGAATTTTATTATGTGTGCTAGTATAAACAAATTTTTTATGGACAATGAAATAATATAGTAGCCATTGTTCGTTTTCTGTTATTTGGTTCTGAATGCCCTGTAATACTTTCATTCTCT